CAACTGTACATTAGTTAGGAATGAAATGGCTAGAATTTATTCACACCTCTCTACTATTGAATCCAACGTATCACCAGCGCTCAGATTCGCTTCCATGGTGCTGTCAAGTACGACTTGCAGTCTGTAAGGTAAACTAAAGGCTATTGGCTATTTGAAAAGGGGGAGGAGCCATTCAATATTTCCCACCTTAGCTTCCCGTTTCAGTGGAAATGACGTCAACGCATCATACAAAGCTGTGTGTTCCAACTTCCAAGGCACTTCAGTGCGCCTTTAAGAATCAAACTTCACTGGTCAAGCTTTTTGTGTTTGATTCACTAAAAGAACCAGTTCACAAGAGCCAGTCAGTTGAGAGTAAAACCTCACTTGAGCTGTTTGCTTTTGATATACTTAAAGAATCAGCTCATAGACATTAGCTTGGTGATCAGATTTCACTGGTCACGCTGTATGTTACTGATTCACTAAAATGGTTTTATGCTGGATAGTAATGCAGGGTATTTTAGTATGCAGTGCGAGAACCATTACCAGAAGAGAACGTCGTGAAAATAATGTGCTTCTTTAAATGTTCTTAATTAGAACTGGTTCTTGGTTGTCTCGCAGCAGGGGGCGATCATCCTGTGGTCTGTGTGGGTCCTAACACCCCATTACAGTCATGGGGACACTATACTGTCAAAAAGCGACGTCCTTCGAATGAGACGTTAAACCAAGGTCTTGACTCTCTGTGGTCATAAAAAAATCCCAGGACTTCTTTTGAAAAAGAGTAGGGGTGTGACCCCGGCATTCAGGCAAAATTTGCCCATTAGCCTCTGTCCATCATCATGGCCTCCAAATCATCCCATATACACTGACTGGTCAGTCTCCTCTCCACCAATAAGCTGGTGTTCTGGTGCACTATGGTTGCTGTTACATCATCCAGGTGGATGCTGCACATTAGTGGTGGTTGAGAAGATCCCCCCTCCTCCTCCTCCCATATGTAAAGTGCTTTGAGTGACGAGAAAAGCACTATATAAATGTAACAAATTATTATTATTGGTTCCCAACTCTACTCATGATCTAATAGGGAGCTTTTTAAAAGTTTTTTTTCTTTTTTGAAAGTGCTTTTTGATACATTCTGGGAGTTCTTAAGAGTGTGCACATCTATTGATATTTTATCAGTCTCTACTAATATACTGGACTGACCTGATCTTTATTTTGTGTTGTTGGGGTTCTCATGCATGTCAAATCACCCCACCCAGGCAGGTCAGAACAAGCAGTGCTTTGGATCAATAAGAAAGATCAACCAGAGATCAATAGATGTATGTACAATAATATACAGAACAAGGCTTTACTCTACCACTGGATATAAACTGGAGGGATGCTGAGCGCTCATTTATGCCCAGAGCAAAGTCACACATTAGCACTAACTGACTGTTTGCAAGGAGACGCTAGAATTAAGTGATCTCCAGCCAAGCTCATCCTCAGTTTACTGACACCTTTGAAAAGAGGCCTGTGATTAACGCAACATCCAGACAACACAACTGTTATTTAGACACAGAGCTTAAATGTGTGCATTTTATTGTCTGTTGCGACTGTGTGGATGTGCCTTTGTGTGGGCGCTGTGTTGTTGTTTGTTGCCCCTTACATTTGTGCGTAAACGTACACATTTGCAGGTCTATTATCACAGCTCATTGATGAATTAACCTAGTGTGTCGAAACACCAATAAGCTGTCAAATGAAAAGAATGATTCATACTTTAATAGAGCTAGTTAAATCTAAAACAAATATTTGGTTATCATTTACTCACCCTCATGTCATTCCAAATCTGTATGGTTTACTTGTTTTTTTTTAGCAAATTTAGAAGACTATTATTATTTGTCATAAAAGTGGCGTTAAGCAACAAAAAAATGACAAAAAATATCATAACAGTATTATGTCCATATATGACTCCTTTGTTCAAAGTTTTTTTTTTGTTCAAAGTAACACTTTGGGCCCTATTTTAACGATCTGAAACGCAAGTGTCAAAGCGTAAAGCGCAAGTAACTTTGTGGGCGGATCCCGGCGCTGTTGCTATTTTCCCGGCGGGATAAATGCCTCTTGCGCCAGGCGCAAATCTAAAAGGGGTTGGTCTGAAGTAGCTTCATTATTCATGGGTGTGGTTTGGGCGTAACGTGAAATAAACCAATCAGAGCGCCATCTCACATTCCCTTTAAGAGCAGGCGCGCTTGTTCTAAAGCGGATTCCTATTATGACGGCGGATTTGCCAGGCGCGCGCCGGGAGCGGTTCATAGCCGAGGAGAGCAACGTTCTCGTCAGGGCCGTAAAAGAGAAGTGACATTGGGGATGGAGAAACCCACCCAAATTAACTTCTGTTAAACAGGCGTATGATAATTTGGGTAAATGTGTAAGCTACATGTATGCTTTTATAATAAATTGTCTATCTATCTATCTATCTATCTATCTATCTATCTATCTATCTATCTATCTATCTATCTATCTATCTATCTATCTATCTATCTATCTATCTATCTATCTATCTATCTATCTATCGTAATAATGTATGATTTGCAAAAATGAAAACTGCTGCTTAGATGAGAGAATCAAAGTGTATGCGCTTTGTGCACACGCTACATTGATTATGGCCAAGCATGCGCCCTTAAAATAGCTTGATGAACAACGCGCAACGCGCCACTGACTTTAGACTACTTTTTTTCTGGTCAGTGGCGCATTGGTTTTATAGAACAGCAAAATAGCATGAGGGAAAATTTGCGCCGGAACACGCCTCCTCTTTGCGCTGAACCGCCCCGGGGAGCGCAAGTGTATTTCTTAGTTAACCGACGTGTGTCTGTAGAGGGAAAAGCCCGCTTTGCGCGGGTGCAAAATAGGAATGATACATGCGTCAGTGTACAAAGTCATTTGCGCCGAGTGCAAGATAGGGCCCTTTGTGTTAAAAACAGACTGTAAAAGGCAGAGACGGTCCACTCTTATACATATATGGGAAAAAATGGTGACTGTAGTCTTGACCATAAATTGAACAAAAGAACTAAGAAATTCTGGATACAGGCGTTGCAATGTTCAACTGTAGCTAAAACAGCACAAATTATGATACCATTATCAAATTTGATTTCTGACAAGAAATAGCATAGCATGGCTTGACTTTCGAAATCCTGATTTCCTGAAATGTATGCATCTCATTTGGTTTTGATATCCTTGACGTCAAACCTTGTGCAATATGGACTGATCTGCCAAGTTGGAATATACACATGTCAGAATGTGATTTGATAGCTGCAGTTGGTCAATAAAAAAGTCATTAACACTTTACAATAAGGTTTCATTAGTTAACATAAGTTAACTAATTAACATGAATTAAGAATGAACAATACTTCTAAAGCATCTATTAATCTAAATTAATGTTACTTTCAACATTTACTAATACATTATTAAAATCAAAAGTTGTATTTGTTAACATTAGCTAATGCACAGTGAACTAACATAAACAATAAGCAACTGTATTTTTATTAACTAACATTAACAAAGATTAATACATACTGTATCAAATGTTTTGTTCATTGTTAGTGAATACATTATGTTAACTAATGAAACCTTATTGTAAAGTGTTACCAAAAGTCATATGGTTTTGGAATGGCATGAGTAAATGATAACAGAATTTTCATTTTTGGGTGAACTATCCCTTTAAAACACAGGAACACTCCGTTGTCAGAATTTTGATTGAATTGTTATTCAATGAAGATTTTCTGTCATGATCATCTCCATTAATGCATCAGTTATAACCAGAGTGGGGAATTAAACAAAGCTATTCCTGAATCATGCAGTGCAGCCTTTCTGATTTGAGTCTGCATCCTTAGTTAACCTCAACTGGAGAAAGGTATCTCCCAGCATCAGCCTCAGGTGTGTGAGTGGGCTCTCAGAACATATGCTCGATACACACCCAGGAAAGAACAGCTTCAGCCCCCGCACACACACACAGAAGAGTTAAAGAGTGGGATTTCCCTAATGGACACTGCTTCTTTACACGCACGCACGTACGCGCGCGCGCACACACACACACACACACACACACACACTTCCTCTCATAAGTGTCTTGGCACAGGCCTTTCTCTTGATGCACTAATGATGCATAACAAAACCAAGAGGATTTCATGAATCTATCAAACGCCCACCATCAGGATAGACAAACCAGTTCTCAGATCATTACTATTCAGTTGTCAGTGATAGCACAAAACAAATGTTCATTTTTTTTGTCTTTGGATGCCAATTTCCTTTTAAATTGAGTAAATACTTCCGTCATATTAATTCATTTTAGTCTGTTTTACTTAACATTAGTCTTTTTAACATAAAATTAAACTAAATATTCAAACATTTTATATATTAACTTCAGATTTTATTTTAATGTTTTTGAGTTTTTTTATGCTCACCAAGGCTGCATTTATTTCTTTAGTAATATTGTGAAATATTTATGCAATTTTCATGCAATGCAATGCAAAATTCAGTTGAATTAAATTAAACTAATTTCTATTTTAATATATTTTAATTAGTAATTTATTCAAGTGATGGAAAAGCTGAATTTTCAGCATCATTACTCCAGTCTCACATGATCCTTTAGAAATCATTCTGATATACTGATATAATTCTGATATGGCACTGAATACATTTTATTTTATCAAGAAAAATGTCGTCTTATTATCAATTTAAAAACAGTTGCACTTAATAATTTTGTAGAAACTGTGATACATTTTTTTTCAAGTTTTTTTTTTTAAATGAAAATAGAAAACATTATAAATGTCAGTTTTGATCAATTTAAAGTGTTCTTGTAGAATAAAAGGATTTATTTCCATTGAACGACCCCAAACCTTTGAACGTTAGTGTATAATTATTTTAAAAAAATAAAAAAAAAGGAAAAACTTCATTAATGAACATTTTGTCAGCGATTTCCTTGCGTGCCTGAAGTCACACATACAATTCTGTCTGCTTCTTGTGTTAATTTGCTGTGGACTCAAGAGTCTCACCTTCACTGGAGGATCCCGACAGATCAATGATGACGTACACTTTCCCCTCAGGCTCCAAGTCGATCTGTAGAGAGGAAACACAAAAGCAACCAATCAGAGGACAGCATCTCAGCACGAAAGGAAGACGAATTCACTCCAGAAGCACATTATCCACTGACTTTGTGAACACGCTCCGTAAACATCTCATTCAACATCACCTGTAGGCTACTTTTATCAGCTGATGCCAAAGTTCGCGATCCCAGTAATAGATTCCCTCTGTGAACCTCTCTCTACAGGGATGGGCCCCTCGCACACGTGCTCACTAACTTCCTGCTCTCTGCCTCTTTTTGTTGTCTCTAAGGATGGAGGGTGGCAGAGAGTTGGCAGGGAAACTGCTTCGGTTTTATAATTCCTTTTCAAACAATTTCCTGCCAGTTCAGCGCATCCCCGAGCGACCCACGCAGACCCCACATGGGCCCGACGCCTAGCCGAGATTCGACGCCCACTCGCCATCAACTCCGCGTGGGGGAGAGGAGCTGGGAGAGGCACCAGATCCACAATGTCAGGAAACCACTGCTTAATCTTATAATGCAGAGAGAGAGAGAAAATACGGGCCCTGCGGTGCATATGTGGAGGTGGATGGAGGTGTCGGAGAGAGAGAGATATCGAGCTGCATTCATAGAGCGTCTCAAAATAGAAGGCCTGTTTTATTTTTCTCTTCACAGTGATCTAGATCGTCAGGGACACTGCGGACCCGGTGCCAGATCAGCACTACCGGTCTTAGTCCTCTTCCTGAATACAGGAATTAGGACATGAAGAACAGCACAAGCTCTGCAGCAGAAGAGATTTCGTTTGCCCAGATTTCAGTCACAGTTTGTGCCGGGGAGGTTGCGGTTCTGTCGTTTTGCCCCGAGTTTAACCTGCTCTCTAAGCTAAGGGGGAAAACCTGATTTATCTCTTTAATTCCTAATTAAATCATCCGAATTTGCTGCACTTTCGAAAACCGAGCCTGTCGCACTCTCAAAACCGCCCTCTCGAACATATCAGGCCATCTACCTGCAGTCATCTGATGAAATTATAATCAATAGCTTTTAAGGGATAGTTCAACCAAAAAAGAAAATTCAAGACTTTGGTTAATCTTCGAAACACAAATTCAAGTCATTTTGTGAAGAGCTAATATCACTTTATATGACGAACAGATTTAATTTAGGCTTTTATTTACATTTCGACACACATACATAGAGCACATCACATTTGGCAAACATGGAAGCTTGTGTGTCCATCTGTAAATAAAAACATAAATTAAAAGGATAGTTCACCCAGAAATGAAAATAAGCCCATGATTTACAGGACCATTTTTAAAAGTGCAGTGTGTGATTTTTAGCGACATCTAGCGGTTCGGTTGCGAGTTTGCACTAAGGGCTCAGCCCACTGCTCATCCCTCCCTTCCGAAGAAGCTACGGTGGCTAAAACGGGACAAACATATTGTCGTAAAAGTTAACATAAAAGATAAAAGATAAACATAAAAGTTTAGCTGGCTAAATATGAGCCGTTACTGTGGCTGAGCTGGTTAAAGCGTAAAGCCTTGTTTAAACTCGACGCGTCCGCATGAGCGCAAAGGTACGCGCGGCAAAAATGACATGATTGTAACAGCGCGCGCGCGCCTCCGCATCCCCTAGACACCATTTACTACACACAATAGGCTTTTTTCTCTGATTTAGAAAACTCTTCGCGATCGACTTAAAATGCTTCCAAGATCGACTTGTCGACCGCGATCGACGGGTTTGTGATTCCTGTAACATACTGTTTTACGGTCAATGACAAGAGTACTAATCAGCTGTCTCACGAACGTAACCAGCACATTTATCCCCACATAGCAAAGCCATAACACAGCGAGGGAGAAGAACTAAGTTACATGAAACAGTCCAACTACATATTTTACACCACTGACAAGGGAAAAGTCACTACTCACGGTGTTTATGGCTAGCTTCTAGGTTTCTAAGGCTTCTCTTTCAAGGTAGTGACGAAACGCGGTCTGTAGCGCTGTTTGTTCACTGTCGGCTACTGTAGAAACATGACGTCACAATATGTTGACCTTCATAGAAGGGGGTGCCCGCGGTTATGTAGATATAAATGTCTCATTCTAAGGTAATAAAACATTACGGTTTAATAAGTAAGTTCTTTATACACCTCTGAAAACATAGTTATGGATGTCATATTGCATTTCTGTTAATAGATACTCAAAATTATTACACATTGCACCTTTAATATAACTCCGATTGTATTCGTCTGAAAGAAGAATGTCATATTCACCTATAGGGATAGGACTAAAGGGTGAGTAAATCATGGGGTAATTGTAATTTTTGGGTGAACTATCCCTTTAAGCCTGTTCATCATATAAAGTGATTTTATGTCTTCAGAAGACTTAAATCACTCGATTCATATTGATTCGTTTTATGACACCTTTATATTTCTTAGGTTTTTGTTACCTGGACTTTCAATGGAGGGAAAGAAACTCTCAAACTTCATTAAAAATATCTAAATTTGTGTTTGGAAGATTAACCAAAGGCTTATGGGTTTGGGATGACATGGAGGTAAGTAAATGACATCAGAATTTTCATTTTTGCGTGAACTATCCCTTTAAATCACTGTAAGACAAAAGTTACGACTGCAGAACCACTGGTGATGTCATCTGAAATGCTAACAGGGTGATGACATGTCTGTTATTCAGTCCCCCCCCCCCACCTTCCTGTGATGTCATGAGATTCCATTCAACAGCAGCCTCCTTGAGTGTGTTTGTCTCAGAGGTGCAACGGGCACTAAATTTAGCAGAGGAAGGAAAGGCCACTGCATGTGTGTGAGTGTGAACGTGCAAGGATAGAGCTGTGTGTAGTCTCCCCGATGACACTCTCCAGGAAACCAGTATCATGCTTTGCTAAACAATGTTGGCAAGGCAGCTTTGCTGGTCATGTATGTGTGTATGAAAGCTCTTTCCAAAGCTGCTGTCAGGACAGCCAACAGACGGCAGTCTAGTTAAAGTCATCAAGGTGCACATTTTCTTTAAAAGGATTTGTGTATAGTTTTCAAGCAAAAATGTCTAATCCTTCAATATGATCCTTCAAATCAGACTTTTTCTACTTTTTCCCTAAACTTTATTTTTCTTGTTCCATTTGCAAATAGTTGTTCTTGATTTAAAGGGATAGTTCACTTTGAAATTAATTTTTGATATGTTTTAGCTTACCTTAAGGGCATCCAAGATGTAGGTGTCTTTGTTTTCGCAGTATTTTCAATTTTGATATTTTTAGGTCAAATCGTTCTTGTCTGTCAGTCATATAATGCAGGTCTATGGTCACCACCTCAAAGAGCATGCACAGAGAAGTCCAATTTAAACATGATTTAATGACTCGTAAATGTTAGTACACATTGATGGCCTAAGACACGAAACGAGCGGTTTGTGTGAGAAAACGAACAGTATTTATATCGTTTTTACCTCTTGTAACGCACAGACCGAAGCGCCCGCGCCCTCAGATCACTTGCACGTGGCTGTGGTTACAAGAGGTAAAAACGATATAAATACTGTTCGTTTTCTCACACAAACCGCTCGTTTCGTGTCTTAGGCCATCAATGTGTACTTACATTTACGAGTCATTAAATCATGTTTAATTTGGACTTCTCTGTGCATGCTCTTTGAGGTGGTGACCATAGACCTGCATTATATGACTGACAGACAAGAACGGTTTGACCTAAAATATCAAAATTGAAACTACTGCGGAAACAAAGACACCTACATCTTGGATTCCCTTGAGGTAAGCTAAAACATATCAAAAAATAATTTCAAAGTGAACTATCCCTTTAAGTGTAAACCTAGCTAATTATGTTAGATTTATGCTTAAAACAATGTTTTTCAATATTAAATCAATATTTTTGTCTTTTTCTCCAGTAAAAAAATGTAAATAAGATTTTAAATTAAAATCTTTAAAGATTTTAAATTTAAGTTAAGATTTACCTAATGAGTTTTTACCTAATGAGTTTTTTTTACCATACAGTAAATCTAATAAAATGTTATGAGATTTATGCATACAACCAATTTGCCATTGGCATAAGGAACAAAAAGAGAGAACGTAATAATAAAAAAGTATTATCTTAATGAAATACATTTTATTTTAAAGACATTTATTATATATATATATATATATATATATATATATTTTTTTTTTTTTTTTTTTTTTTTTTTCTGGGGAACAAGACAAAACATTGGTTTAGGGAAAAAAAAATTGCCGGTATCTGTAGAGATAAAGGGTTGCTTTATAAGCATCAACTGAATCCTAAAATGACAAATGAAAAACAATTTTGTTGTCTCTATTTGCATGTGCAAATGCAGGCCAGCAAAGTCTATGTCACGTACATCATTTGAGACAAGGCCAAATATGACAAGAGAATAACTCATGTGAAAGAAACAGAGCCTGTGGCATGATACCAGTCTCTCTTATATGGCTCAAAACATGCTGCTATTAAATATCTTTCTTAGTAAAACTGGGGCAAATTAAGTCTAAAAAGGTGCATTAACTGCATTTTAATGACATCTGAATTATAAAAATATAATGGGGCCCAAAAGTTTGAGACCACTAGCGAAACTGCAGTTATAAAATATGTATAATATTTAATATAATATAAGTTTTTCACCGAAAATGTTTTTTTCAGCATTACAACAAATAAAAGTTCAATTTTTTTTTAAATAAGTGAATAGAACTTATTAATAGAACAGAATCAGAAATAGAACAGAATCTTACATTTTTCTAAATAATTTTAAGTCATAACATTTCTTTGTTTTACATTTTTCAAAATCCTAAAAAAAAACACACACCTTTCATAGGTTTAAATGAGATGAATTTTAAACGTGGTCTCATACTTCCTCACCCCACAGTGCATTACTTAAAAAAATCCTCTTGCAAACTGACACTGGAAAAAACTGATGTAGTTAATCTGTCTGTTGAATGTGTGTCAGAAAGTTGTCAAATGCGTACATGACAACCATGTATTTTACACTAATAACATTTAAGAAATATAGCTTTTATACAATGAACA